GTAGAAATCTTTAAGACAAGTTTACATAATGTATAAGTCTGTTTTGAAGAATGTTTTGTAATGAACGGATAAATCATTAAAGTGAATTTATCGGTAAAAAGCAGCGGCGGTAAAATTCAATTTTCCTTCGGTTAATTCAAATATTGAGCGTATCTAAATTGGTTCTAAATATGATTAGTTTCGATCGCAGCACATAAATCTCGGTTAGGTATGCGTTGCACTGTGTTTAATGGAATTTTGTGATTTATTTGTGAAATGAGTCGGAACCGAATAAGGATAATGTTGTGCGCTCGTCGGCGAGGACCTTCAAGTACTGAATGGGAATGTATAAAATGTTCTGGTAGGTAGAATGTAGCAGTTTCGTGCGCTCAAGCGCGCTTGACAACAAAGTTACTAGGCAACCACTGATACGTCACTATCAATTTCGTTCTTATCCCCTGGATGGAAAATTGCTGCGCGAACGCTCCACTTAAAACTCATCCACATCCTTACGTGATTTATTTTCACCGAATCAATTCCGTTCCATATGGATCGCAATTGCAGTATGTATATATATATATATATGTATTTACATCTAACTAATTCCCAAACCGCATAAAAATCTAATAAAATCTATAATTCTATAAGGGACAACTGAAAAAAATCAAACAAACAGAGGAACTCAAAAAATCTTCCCGACATTATTGATTCATTGACTAGTAATGAAGCACGTTCGAAGTGTGCCCAATAAAATATCAACGAGTCGTTACCGTAAGCGTTACAAGATTCTGCGTTTATTGTTAATTGGAAATTATTGTAATTACGTCGATCGCAAACGCTTGCGTAATTATATGTCGATTGCAGCTGATCGTGAATAGATTGACCTATTCTCTAGCTTTCGGGAACAGCAAAATATTGTATTGAAATGTAATCAAGGGTAATTCGATATAGTCGAGTAATGGTGATACAACAATAATAAACCATGCGTGATCATAATATGCATGTCTACGCAATGCGTCTGTCTATATCAGAATTTATAAATTTCTATTTTTGCACTAACCATACTATTTATTTCGTTATTTTTTGTAGATTTAAAAAATAACTGATACCTGCCATAAAACAACTAACTTGTTCTATTTATAATGCAGCTTGGAATTCGATACTATAAAACATATGTCGCGCGAAATTTAAGAAACTAGTTGTGAAATATACTAATCTTGAAGAATGTAGCAAAACTTTAGAAATCTCACAGACAAAGGAAGCCGATCAATGTATAATTTTATAACAACACTGCAATTATTTTTTTGTTGTAGAGTACAATAAATTAGAGTACATTGGAATACTTACAAATATTGAAAACTCATCACATAACATTTCTAAAGTTTTAATAAAATAAATCAAACTTTGGTTCTGAAAAAATGGTCATAATCAGAGAAGATTTCATGAAAAACTGGCTTATGATACAAATTGTTTTACATTAGTTGTTATAAATTACAGATTTTTTTTAAACATTTCGGTATATGATAATATCTAAATGTATTTCATGCTATCAATATTTTTAAAGCTTGCTCTTTTGATTTTAATCAATATTAATACAAAATATAAAAATACAAAATAAAACCTTAATATATTAATAATAAAATAATAAGTTAACTGCTGCAAAGGGCTATTGGAAGATAATAATATAATGTACAAACGATCATTAAAAACAAGATACCAAAATTATAACAGTACTTCTCAAGTAGCTAATATGTGCTCGTAACAAGTAAAGTCAGTCCCAGACTGACCTCCAATTCTTAATATGAAACACTGGTAAACTGTATCGTGATTGGAGCAAAACTTTGTAATTAATATTCCAATGTGTTCCAAAATAGGTGTGATATTAGTGTGTTCATACAGTAGCTCGTTCGGAGGGTTTTGTGTTGGATTGTCCGGGTTTCTAAGCTTGGTGATTGTTCGGAGGGCCACTCCCTCCGCCACGGCAAGTTTATCTCATATTTATTATTTTTAACTTTTACCGATATACATTGGTGTATGTATACATTTACCGGTAAAAGTACATAGATTTACCGATTATGTACTTTTAAAATGTTTCAAATTAGTGAAATTTAAATTGCCTCTTTCAATTAAGAACCTCAAAAGAATTGTATAGAAATCACATTTCGTATCACAAAATACATCTACAGTGGAACCTCGCTTCACGAGCATTTCGCTTAACGAATAAAATTAATTGTGATAAAGTTCCGGATTGCGCGCCTGCTACATCATTTTTAAAACTTGTGTGCACATATTATGTGTATTTTTGAATATCTTAACCATCTTGGATTTTCTTTGTCATCTTTGTTTAAAGCGGACTATACTTTTCAAATATAAATTGTGTTTGCTGTAAATGCAAAACACAAATGTATTGTGTCCAACCATTATTATAATATATAAACACACTATGTACGCTTCTTTATATAAACAAATATTAAAAGTATAAAGAGACCTACACTTAGTCCCCGAATTGATACAAGTAACATAAACAAATGAATTGGAAAACAGTCCCTGGTGTTATTGGTCATTCTAGTTGCATCTTAGTGTTGTTTGTAATCACAAAATTTTCAAACTTGTGTTCAGACATGTTATAGGTGTTTTTTTTTGTGCAAAATTTAATAACTCTTGCATGTCTCCAAATAAAAGAATAAGGAGAACTATAGATTTGAAAAGCAAAATCATTAAAAATCGAGACCAAGTTATACTTTTTTTCTGGCAAGGAACGCATTATCGTAATTTACATTAGTTTATATGAGAAAACGTGTTTCACTATACCAATAAGAATCCGGAAATTTTGGAACGGATTAATCTCGTTAAGCGAGGTTGCACTGTATTTAAATTAGCACGAAGCTTAAATGAAGACAATATATGAATTAAAAACAAGTTTACTTATGACTATATTGAAATCTACATCATTTATTGAACTTTTATGTCAGTCGTATTTATAGGGTCATATAATATATACAGTTCTTAATAAAACTATTGATACAATTAGTGATTCTACAATAATGTTTTTAGGCACTATATTTAAACTACCTGCTTTAAATTGTCTATTCTAATTATATTAATTAATTAATTTAATTGTAAAATTTATATTTCCAGATAATATTTCAATACGAATCAACTTTGATCAAGCTATCTTTGCTAGGTAAATATTGTCTGACATCTGAAATTAATACGCATAATACAAAACAGCAACATCTTATTACCTGTTTGCTTCAAGCTATATCAATCAAAGTAATCTAATTCATATCAGAGATGCATTCTCCAGCACTGGAAAAAGTGCAGATGCATATTGAATATGATGAAATTAACATAAATAAAAACTTCCAATAATACCGTCATAATTAATATACGTAGAAGAATAATACAAATATACATATGATATTTGTATCATTCAAATTTAAGACCCATATTTTTAATAAATGTTATTATAACCATATAATAAAATTCGGTCTGAAAGACCTATGGTCAATAACCCTTTGTAGCAGATCAAGTTGTTATTTTTATTTTATTGTTATATATTTTGTTTTTTTTTTGAGTATGTATTATTATTTGTTACAATAAATATTATTATTATTAATATATTAAAGTTGTTTTTTCGTTCGCTATATTAATGAATATCATAGAAAAGTAAACATAAATGAAATACTTCTTTTTCTTATTGAAGGCTCTCCCGTAGTCCATTTAGCCTGTCTCGAACTGACACAATTTTGCTCAACCTTTGTACTTTAAAATTGGATAGGTTCTACAACACAACTGTAAGACAATTCAAACCGCTGGAACTCTGACCAAATGAATATTTCTCATGAAGTGTATAATTTATAGACTGTAATATATACAACTTACCTTACTTCCTAATATACTAAGTTGCATATGAAGAAAAGTTTATGATGTAATAGTAAGATAGTAGATAATAATAGTAATTATTAATAGATGAATTTACAGCAATTGAAGTGTGGAGAGGAAAAGAAGAAGAAGAATGTATAGCAGACCCAAGAAAAATAATTTTCTCCAAAAAGAAGTATATATAAAAAGTCAACAATAATAAGATATAGAATATATAAAATTTAAAACTACTAATAATTGGTGTTACATTATATTGTGTATTCACTTCTATAATATTTTTTATTCTATAATACTTCATTCTTTAAATGTATTTTATCTTATTGGAAATATAAGACTCTTGGCTAAATATATTCTTTCTTTATAAAGTAATGGTAGTATCTGTATGTTAAAAGTAACTGCTATTATAGTAAAACATCATAATTTTATTATGTTCATGATCGTAGGAACGACGATTTTCTGTAGGTTATAAAATAATACACACCACTTTTTTTTATTTATTGATATTATATTTTAATCAAATTAAATTTAAAGTACTTGAAATTGTTTATAAAAATCTATATGTTTATTTCCAATTATCATTTAAAAGTATTATTCCTCCTGTCAGAATATAATTATGTTTGTAATTTTTTTTATAAGTATTTAATTTAAAATATATTATTATTAAGTATAATTTCCTTCGCTACTGAGAAAATTAAAACAATCCTCGAATCTCCAGTTTTGCTATAATCAAACCATTACAAAATCAGTCACTTTACAGTTTCAAGTTCTAGAAAACAATATTACAGTAGTTAATTGTTTTTAGTATTTTTGGGGTCCCATAATTTGTTTTTACTTGGTAGCCCGAACTACACTTAATCCGCAACAGCGTTTACTATTAAATATGATACTAATTTATATATTGTTTTTTTTTTATAGAAATACTGGTTCCAGTATTGATATACTTAAATTAATTTTGAATTTGATTGATATTTTTTTCTGTAGGTTATAAAATAATACACACCACTCTTTTTTATTTATTGATATTATATTTTAATCAATTTAAATTTAACAATGTGAATTGTTAAAATAAATAACTCGTATACAAAAAAAAGTATTGGAAATTTTAAAAGAAACATATATAAAATGAATATCTTATAGAAATATTAACATTAATTTTAAACGTACCATTTCGCAATACGATATTTTACCTATCTTTGGTAATTTATATGATCTACTATAGTAATGATGCACTTCGCCTAATCAGCATTACTAATTTAGATACTACCAAAAAAGAAGACAATAATTTGACACTAACATTTAACAGAAGCAATATTAAAATAAATACAAATTCGAACTTTATAATACTAATATAAATTTAAACGAACATATTTATGATCTAGTTGTAGCTACTGCTTTAGGATAAACTTAACAGACAAACATGAATACAATTATCGTAAAGCAAAATATTTGGATAGTTTTCTAAATGAAACGCATATTGTTGCTAGTATATTGAGATATCGGTTACAGTGGGATGACTTCGAGATTGACTAGTTTCATCGTCCAATCGTGACGAATTGCTTCTTTTATTTGAAGCTGCTTGGAGCACGCCAGTTACACTTCTCGATGTTGCTATAGGAACGTTCTAAAAAAAGATAAACGGCATTAGAAAACAGTTTAAGGGGTACAAAGTTACGAACTGTATTACCTCTAAATCTAATCATATGCGGTGGAATATCTTGAGTGGTCGTGGGTCTTCCATACTGGCATCCCTTGTAAGCGCTGTTATTCCTCAATGATGGTGGTTGAATACACAATACGTCTTCATTCATGCGATAAGAAGTCACAGAAGTCGTTCCAATGGTGTCATCATCGTAAGCGTTGATGTCAATGTCGGTCAACACTGCAAGAAAGAGAAAAAAATATTCATGAGCAGATATTCGCATGACTCACATCTAAAATGGAAAAGAGCGTTGCGAAAAAAATAAATAAAAATGGCATTGAAGGAAAAAAACGCATAAATTTTGAATGGCATTGTAATTTGTTCCCAGCCCTAAATACACGTTTACGTAAGGCCGTGTAACGCGTGGAACCGTTGATAACAAAAAATTGCGCTAGTTGCAAAACTGGTGCTTTTGTCTCCGAGAAACTTATCTTATCCACTAATTTATACAACACCTGTTAATTATTGCAATTACTTTCGCGAGACGGAGGATCGATATTGCATCAGAGGTTAACTATATTTGTGCATTTAAAATGCATGGAATTTGTCATTGACATTATTTTTTTGTATTCATATTTAACGATGAATACCGAAGATCGTACATGTTTCTACGATGTGTTCCTAAATGATTTTGTATCAACCAAAATACACAATTTCGATTTCGCGAATTGTATAATACGAACGGATCTCCAAAACCATTAAAAAAAAAGTTATGCAATAAGTTTGCTTCTTCCTTTCATTCAAAATATGTTACTAATTATTGGAGAATTATACATCGTAAATACCCACCGTTGCAATTCTTTAGAAAGGAAGATGGTATTTTAAAAAAAACCGTTTTGTAACTATTGACGATTGATCATCGACATGGGTGGCTATAAAACATTCTAGAAACGTTTTTACATGTAAATAAAAAATAGGAAACACATATGGTTTCATTAAATGTAAGGTCTGTCTTTACAGACACTTATCAATTAACAAATGTTCATTCGCATCGTTTCACATGTGCTTAAATGTGCAAGGAAATTCAATGATTTCAAACATTGTGTTTGCATTACCAGACAATAAATTGATTGGCTGAATGAGCTCCTTTTATATTTCACTTTTCTCAGTTTCTTAGGTAGTATTGATTCAAAATGCAGACGCTATAAACTAAACCAAATGCGATTCATCAATTCCGCCGATTGGATAGACCAGCAGTTAATGGATTTCCAATTGGAGTCGTTCGTGTGAGGGTGTAGTGTACATTTTCTCATGCAGTTTGCGCCGGATTTACGGGGAACGTGCTGTTGATTCATAGCGCTCACGCAAAAAAAAAAACTAGGGAGAGGAAAACGTCGAGCTGGCTCAGCAACAAATATTAAAAAGTAAAGGGGCGCAGGAAATGGAATATTTCCGGAGGTTTACGGGATAGAGGCAAAAAATGTATATATGAAAATCCGCGGAGCTAACGTAATTCCGAACAGTCGCGAATGAAAAAGTAATCTCCGTTATTGCCCAAGTTCATCCCGTAATCGAAGCAGACTGGGACTCCTCTGCCCAATCGCAGATCGCAAAAATTCCTAGCTTTATGCTAATCCGTTAGGTTCGTTCCCGTTGCCGATCAAATTTAACACTTTACACTCGTTGCGGTTCTTTGCAATTGCCCTCGTGCATTTCTATGCATCTCACATCATTTCGTTCGACCATTTCTTTTCTCTAACTGTATTATCTAAGCTTTCGATTAAAATTTATTTGTATTTTCACTGTCACTTATCAATAGATTTATTTTATGTAAACAAAATACGGTTAATAATAGCAATGTACGATTATCATAAATTAACCTATTACTATCGGACTAAACCCTAAAATGTATTGATTTATAGATATCAATCTTCTTCAATTCTAAATGCGTGACACGCATTCATCGTCCATGGTAATTCAATGAAATGCAATAAGTAGTAAAAATGGATACCATCAAATAGAATAATGTACAGTAACAATCATAAAATTGATATAAATTAAAGTGAAACAACATTTTCTTGATTGAGAAATATTTTCATTTCACGTAAAAGCGAAAGCACAACGATTTATGCTGTTATCGAGAAACGGATACAAAATTATCTAACAGATACCAATAGTATTTGGGACACTTTACTTCCTTAAATTTTGTAAACTCGTTTGCTTAATGTTAATTATTGTATTTATTTGTTAAGTTATAATTATCAAAGAACGGTTATTAATCTGACACTATATTTCCATATTAATTGACCAATCTTTCAGTCATTTACATTGTAGAAATTCGTGTCTTTACAAAAGTTGCCTAACTTAAACGTCTTTATTTTAGAAGATTACGTTTTATTGCATTCTAGTTAGTAAATACTTATAATAGTTTATCTATGTCAACTTTTTTTTTTGAAATTATAATTATTTATAATCAATTGTTATAAGTTTTAATCTTACGGGGAAAGAACATTTAAGAAATCCAACAATAGAGATATGCACCAATAAAGCCATAATAAATGATCAAAACAAATATTAATCCTAAATACAAGATAATACTAACATTTTATGAGCACTTAATTTATTTTCTTTCGGTAACTTAGATTTATTTTTGATGTTCGATTGCATGTATGTTCAAAAGATAACATTATTATCAGTTTTACACTCAAAAAAAGAGAAAAGCCCAAAACATCTCTTGGGTGGTCAGATCGATAAGCCGAGGTTCAATAAACCAATTATTTGTCATGATTTGACATTTAAAAAAAAGTTAACCCCCACAAATGAATCGAGAAAATTAAATTTCAGAGCTTACATTTTAATTAAGTTTCGTAAGAATTGCAACCTTGTATGTCCGTGTTTCATCCCTCTCAAAGCGCTGATATCTAATCCGTTTAGGCTTAGGACGCATAAAAGAAGGAACTTAAGAAAGCGTGCCTCGAAATTGAATCAAAAGTTACTTACGAGATAATCTATTGTTGAGAGTGGAATCCCATTCGTCTCCCCTCCGGTCCATCCATTCCCTTTTCTTGACGACTTCTTGCTGGGTGCTAACCGTATCAGTGGGCAATCGTCTCAACGCTAAAAACACAAAAAAAAGAAACAATTGAAAACTCGTGATTCGAATTATTCGCGGTATGCAAAAATCGAGTTCCACCGATAAACGCAATGCAAATAGTTCATAAGATTGGAATAAATAACAAAATAAATGTCAGTCCTTTTAAGAGCGTAGGTGTTAGAGTAATGATAATTATTATATGTTGATATGCATTATAAGAAGTATCGCAAGATATTAACTGTGACCTTCGCAGACTGCGATTGGCTTTAAAACTCGTTAACGTTTCGGTCTCTTTATATAAGAAAACACATGTACATAATTATCCGAGAAAGAAACTTATTAGAAACACTTCCTTAGTAGTTAGAGACAATCGTTGCGGCTTTCAAACAAAGAAATGGATATATAAAAAAGAGCAGAAAAGAAAACAGGAAGGAAACCGCTATAAACTTAGACGAAACGATACAAAGAAACAAGTAGCTACGATGAGTCTCACTTTTTCTTTCAATATTTATGTATTACCTGCGTTATTTAATCATCGCTCTATTAATAGAATTATTCAATTAATTCACGGTCTTGTATTAATATGCAAACGAGTGGCATTCGTACTTCATGTGCGCTTCTTTTTAAAGCCATATTGTCGATGTCTATTTCATTATTCCAATCTGCACCCGACAGCATAATTAAATGACGCTTTCCTCTGCATTTTTATATGCCACGAATCGTGCATTTTTAGTTTATCCCATCCCAAGAGCTCCGTGACTACGTGCCTTTCAGCTAAAGCTAACCTTCTTTTTTTGTATTTGTAAAGTTAATGAAATATTTGTAGCTTTTTTGGTATGATAATTCATAAAATATCGTAATAAAAATATGAATAATAATATTTTACCTCAATATTTAACAACTCATATCATCGGTAATAGACTTAATTATATAATCTATCAAAAGTAAATATATTTTGAAATGTTTCAGTTTTTGGTCTACTACTTATATAAGTTATATCACATAATGTTTTTGTCATCTGGATTACATTATCAATGGTTTCTTTAAAAGTTTCGAGTTGGAAGTAATTATGATACAACATGGATCAGCAATGATAATTCTTAGGCTTGGTCTTAGACCTTTGGATATTCTGAATTGTTAGTTTTAATAAAATAATTGTCTAAATGTACCACGTTAATTTCCGGCCTATATTTTTTTATCATATTTTAATATTTGAAATAATAAAATTATAATATGTATTATTATACTTTTTCATTAAACAAAATTAAAAATATTCATCATTAGTACATTGCTAATGATTAGGTAATATCATAGTAAGTTACTGAATAATAATTGTCAGTCATTAAATCAATGGCGCATGCCATAACCCATTTGTTAGTCTCGACGAGATAAAGCGAAAAGGAATGCGTGTTCATTTAACCATCCACTTTTGCAAGTAATTTGACAATAATATAATCTCTGGATTTGGTGTTTAGACAAGCAAACAAATAATTAGAGTCATGGGCGCCAGAAGACTTGCTTCTCTCCTTTTTGTTTTGGTTTTCTTTATTTGAACTAATTTTACAATTAGTCTCTTTTAAAATTGTTTCTGAAAGAATTTAATCGAGACATACAAAGAAATAATGTTAGTAATAGATATTTATAAAAACAAATTACTTGAATATATTGTTACAAATTATGCAATTAGTATCATTAATAAGTTAATTGTTTATATTATATTATATTTAATGTAGACTAATCGTTATTTAGAATTAAGGTACGTAACTGTTGGATGTAATATTCAATTAATCTCAAATTTTATTTTTATCTGCTATAACTAGTTTTATGGTAGGTTTATGTCTAAGATTTTTATACTATATGAATGATACTTACAGATTTTTTGACGATCAGCGAGCCAATCATCCAGACATCTGATATTGTTGTTATCCCGTTTTTCATCGCATGAGCTTCTGAAGGCCCTCTTCCTCTCCTTACAATTGTACGTGCATTCCTCCAGCATTTCAAACCAATCTTCAAGTCCATCGGTGGCTCTCAAATAAATCTTCCCATCTCGTCCCATCAAGACCAGAGCAACTGTGCTGTAAGTCTTCTTGTTCTCCCATTCGACGCGATCCACGTCCACCAGCTTCACCTTGAAGAGAAACTGGCCCATCTCCGAAATTCTATCGTTACCGGAGGCGCGCCTGAAGCAATGAAGGTAGTCCCTGGTCAGGATGAAGTAACGCTCCTTCCATCTGCTGAACAGCTTATCACGTTGCTGCCATAGTAATCCCTTCTTTAGAGCGTTGTAAGCATCTTTTCCATAATTTGAAGGCAATAAAGACTAGAATCAAATAGAGAAAAATGCATGATTTCATTACGTCGTATATAATTTTATTGTTACAATGTGTGTGGTAGATAATCTGCTAAATGTCAGAAGCCATTACTTCCTTCCGTTAAAAGAACCGCTGAATATCTAGCCCCAAATGATAAGATTAGTTTGTCAATTGTTTCTTTGTATTTTCCAGCACAGATGACGAACTGTGTAGCGTGAATGCGGCATCCAATTTTTATTTTTATAAATATTAATTAATATGGAAGAGTGGATAAAGTTTAATGGCGGAAAAGGTAGTTAGCGTGCATGTGGGGGTTGCAAATAGCGAATGCATCGCTAATTGAGAGATGGCACAGGTTGGGTTGATTAGTATTCAGCGAGTTTTGTTTCCGCTACACGCTGGATGACGCACATTTTCGCAATTAACATATGTGCACATAAATACTGAAGAGCGAAAGAGCGAACGTTGCGAGGTAAAAAAAGGGCCTTTAATCACACGGATGAACGAATCGCGAACGCTCCCCGAGGGCGACGAGCCCCTGCCATTCATTTGAATGTATTTCAAACTAAATCAAGTTTTAATCTGCCCTCGCACACCATTAATTATGTTCAGATTAAAACCAGTTATTTTTTCGTTTGTCTTCAGCGCAGAGGGAAGCAACTGCAAATATAAATAGACGCAAATTAATTGCAAGTGTCCGAGCTCCTCCTGATAATCTCGACTATTAATAACTGAAATATTCATGTTTTTTGTTTAACTTACGAGCAAAGTAAACAATTGGTCGAGAATTCAATGAAATGCTCCTTCAATTACTCCATTAAGAGAAAGTCACGCCTTGCGCAACAACTGTAAGGGTTATTATGTATACTGCAGAGTGTGTAATTACATTTTGTGCAGGTACACATTAACCGCAAATTGCGTGTATTATTGGTTTCAAGAGTAGTCTCTAAAAAAAAGAAACTCTATTGCTCAAATTATATACAAACACAAAACGTTCTTGTACTAACAAAGCGAAAGTAGTCTCATTTAGATTATATATATAAATTGGACATAACATGCGAATTCACAAAGAAACAAGAAAAAAAAAACAGAAATAATGAGAAAATCAAATTATAACAGACAAATCGTAACATACTGGATTGTGTTATGTTTGCCTTGTGATACGTTTTGTTAGAACTGTATTCTTTAAATCTTCCTCTCAACCATGAGCTTAAAGTTTTGAATGTATCATTGTAATTCGTATATGCTTCTAATAATGTGTTCTATTGAAAGATAAATTATACATTCGACTTTATTGCTAGCAGAAACAGTCTGCTAAAATATAATCCTATTTCATTAATTCCACGATAACGGCAAAATATTTTATTTATAGATACCAGTGAGTCGCAGATGTTGCAAATTTGATTATTTACAATTTCTAGATTTAAAGGGTTAAAGTGTCACGCCACAAATATACTGATTTTACAAATCTACGCTGATATTTCCTGTCGAAATGTCTTATCTAATATACCAAAGATTAACTCCTTGTTTACACCAAATACAATGATTACCAAACGGTTATTAGTATTCTCTATCCAATACCACTGATAATTTCCGTTGAAACGATCGTTAGCAAGACTTTCTCTTCGGAGGAAGTTCAGATGGAATTCTTCCTGCAATTTATTCATGTTACATTTTTTAGCACAAGAACAATTTTTAGTATCATCTACAAAAGCATTGTAAATAATTCGCATACATATACATAAATAAACGTTTGAAAATCCTATTTATCTTTCTACTCTCGCTGTGCAATAATATTGTGTTCACGAGAAATAAAGTATGAGCGTCAATTGTGTGTGAATGATCTTCTCCAAATAATCTTTTCGCTCCAATGCGTAAACATAATTTTCTTCAAATATAAACAACTTTGACAGTTACGTCTCAACTAGTCACCCATTTCTTACTAATTTATGAATTCGAGTAGTCTGAAAGATGTTTGTTAGCAAGTTTCACGAATATATTACTAGGAATTTAATAGTGCATATATAATAAACATATAGAGATGAAAGTGCTTTCTTTACTTATTAATATCATCCAAGTACTAATAATACAAATTATGAATACATAAACAACCATTTACTATTCAACATGTTAAGTTTTAAAAAAATATATAATTTTATAAACATATTTCTTCAATTGCAGTTGGTGCCACGAAAACTTGGATTCAATTAAGTGATTGAGCTATGACATCAAGTAAAAAAACAAAATGTAGAATTACATATATTATATATTCCATACTTATTTATAATACCTTTCACTTTCTTATTATGTAAATAATTGGAAAATAGTTATTTTTCTCGAAACATGTAATTATTTTAATACCCAAGGAATTTATTCAAAAATTAATTTAAATATTTGCAATATAACTAATAAAATACATATTTATAATAATTATAAAATACTTTTTCTCGCTTCTTTTTTTTATTAATTTCTTGAATTCAGAATTTTTACGTTTAGTTTCTTTTCTGTTACAGAATAATATAATATGTTTCCAGTGATTATGATTTAATATCAATTGTTCAAATAGTAACAATACATTTTCTTGTGTAAAAAAATAATCTATCAGATGTGTATCATCGTCATTTAATATTCATTAATATATTTCAATAAAACAATATTAACGCCATATATTGTTTTATTGAAATATATGAATGAATATTAAATTAAAAATACGAAACGCTGAAATATTTATGATGAGAAAATACATATTGATGTAAATGTTGTTCTACCGAAAAGAAAGTATGATTTTATTACAATGTGAAGGATAAAGAAAACCACCTAATTAAGGTTAGGTCAATTGAGCTGTCAAATAAAGTATTAAATGTTTCGTGTTTTTTTTTGTATGTAGGTTAAGTGCGATAATGGCAAGCATAACCTTATTGCGGAGGATACGTCGCGAATTCAAATTCAAACGCGCGATTCGTCCGTTCAAGCGTTTCGTACGCGATATTAATGCAAATTTTATCAATTAAAAAATAATGTATATATGTGCGCGAAACCAGTTTCGCAAATATAATGAGACATATTTCAATCGCGGTGGAAATTTCTTGGACACTATTTCGCTTTCTACGGTGCCCGGTAATTGCACCAACCAGTATGTAGTATTAGTAGCAGTAACAGCTTCCTTGTTTTGCCTCTCAGAATTTCTTAACACTGCAAACGCACATTCTGACGCACGGCACGAGGATTTATTTTGAAAGGCCTTTCCCAGTAGCAACATGGGTTTCGCGGTTTCCGTTTCGCTTTTTGTATTTGGGAAAATATGCTAATCGCGAAATTTTCATTGCACCGCATTGAAATGCGCTTCTATTATACATATTTTTTTCAATGATTCTTTTCGTATTTTAATTCTTTCTACTTTCTTGCCTGCTATTTTGAGTTGTACGAATGTCAGGTTTACATGCTGGAAATTACAATTAGAAAGTGCACATAAACAAATAACGCTTCAGTTGTTCCACTTGGGAATTCTAATTGTGTTTTACTTTTTACGCTTTTGCATCTGCAAAAAAAAAATGCTGGTGCATAGTATATACAGAAATGTAATAATAAAATTTTCACCGTAAAAATACGAAATGCGACAGACAATTATTGTTAAATTTGCTCTAAGCACAAAATATATATATATATATATATATTTTATTAAATTGTCCTATTAACTTTGGAATATATAAGTTACAAATATATAAATTAGAAATTGAGCAACAGCATATATTATGAAACATAGAAACAACTTATAGAAAACTATAGAAAACCTAAAAATAGTGCAGATGCACTTGTATATAACTAAAAAAAAGTTATAGCAAGAAGTTCGTTGAAAATGTTGGAAGAGATAATAGCTAGTTTATCTATTAATATAAAGGATGTTCGATTAATCTAATATTAATCTATAAAATTCCTGGGATTAGATATAAATGTCGATTTAGAACTAAATATGAAATTAAATAGAAATCTGAGCAATCCCATTATTGCCAAATGAATTTTGTTTTTCCAATATTCGAAATAATTATAATTTGTAACTTCAGACTATAAATTTAAAATAACATTCTTATGTTTATACAATGGAACCTCATTTAACGAAATGTCCGGATTTTTACTCGTATAGTGTATAGTTTAAAAATGATGTAATAGACGCGCAATCCGGGACTTCTCTTCTCATCGTGACTTGTTAAGCAAGTCATTTTTCTTACATTTCATTTTACTCGTTAAGAAAAATGCTCGTTAAGCGAGGTTTCACTGTATTCTGTAACATTGCATATGATGATAGACGTAGACTACATTTCACAAAAAAACCGATATTCGTATATGTTTCAATTTAGAAGACATATCGAAATACCAGTAAAAGTATTCGTTCGTTAGTTCATTAACATATGTCCTTCTAAATTCCTATAAACATTCCAATACGATTAAACATATTTCCATTCAGTTGCGAATTAAAATATATAAAAGTTTTAGCCACAATTAAAATATAATACAATAACGATGAATATACATGAATTGAATACAATAATAATATTTTTTATATATGAAATTATAGTAGATACGTTTTCACTGAAACCGCAATTTCTCATTCGATTTATTTCTAGTCTGTCAATCAACTTTGGAGAACGAGACAAAGAAATTTCCTCCCGTCGAAAGCCTCGGAATTACTGCCTTTGTTACTATTGTGGAAAATAAAAGTGATCGAAAAACAAACAACAAAAAAACAGAAATTGAATTTTTATTCGATAATCTATTTATATTAAGTGCTAAGTAAAAATAGAATTTGCGTCCGAGAAGAATGAAGATTTTGAAATGCGCAATAGTTGATGGAATAGTTAATTTCTGGTAGACATTGAGATGATTCATTCAACATTGCGAATGTGTGATTCAGATATCAAATATTATTGTGTTTCGCGATTTTATTTTGCATTATTCTCTCCTCCTTTTTTTCCTTCCTTTCTTTACGAACGTGAGCGACACAATTCATTAG